CTTCCTTTTTAATCTCCACTGCATTGGACATGGTTAGGCCAGTGCTCATCTACTGATGAGGATCGCAGCTCCTTGTGTCCCAATTACTTTCAAAAGGCAACATGATTATAGTTATTGTCAAACCTAGCCTTTGTAATCATCTTGATTTAAATGATCAAGTTTATCTCTAATTAGCTTCTCCTAATAACAAAACTATTTTATCATAAATGTGTTTGGAAACCCTAAAATATATTTTGTATAACTAAGGAGGTTTTTGGTTCTTTGACCAGAGACAGGTGCAATTGCACTTTCTGCTTTCTCTTATAATAAACAGAAAGACATACAGGTGTGTAAGTAAGTTAAATTATCTAATATTTCATTACTACAACTAAAATCAGCTATGGTAATTCTACTGCACATTACACATTTTCATCTAGACCAACTACAAAATTTTTCTCAGAACAATTATCATAGTAGAAAAAAATCTTTAAAGATACATTTTAAACAATTAGTTCATGGAGAAAACACTAGAATAAGGTCAGAAGAATTAAATTCTAAGCTGGGTTTTCTTACTGTGTCCATGGTGATAGCATATAAGTCTCAATTATACTATCAGTAAAATGGGGCTAATGACAGATGATAGATGTTCTTTTTATTTCAGAAGGTTCTTATAAAGGAAATACAGGTAATAGGTAGGAGTTACTTTGAACTTTTATAAAGAAAATATCAATGCCATTAAAGTTTTTCAATATCGTATTATAATGCTGCTGACATTAATTTTCAAAATAAATTAGTCTTATTTAATATTTGTAGTTGTACTTTGAAGTAACCACCACAAAAAGTTGTTGTATATGATAAAATTCTGTTTTAAAAATGGATGCATTTTAATGTTGTGGGAACTAGACTTTATAATTACCTTGGCATCTTTTTTTATATATAAAATGCAAGGCCAACTAAAGATTTTTGCCTTCAATGATTTGGCCCTTGCCGTGGGATTTCTTTTCAGACCACTAGACGGCGCAACTACAGGTCTAATGACAGACCAACCTCCTCTTTGAAGAAAAAAACAAGTGAGGAGAACAAGAGAGAGGAATGTTATGAATACCTGAAGTTACACAGTCCTTCTCTCGCAAAGGCAGAGGTATGCAGAGTGCAGCGTAAGTTCAGGAAACCTGTTCCTACATGCAGTCTTTTTACTAACTCAGAGGCAGGGATCACTTCTCCTGTCTGGGCATAGCTTTCTTCATCTAGTCAATTCTCTTTAAATGCATTCCTTCTCTCTCTTTCCTTCCCTGGAGACAGAACAGAGATCATGAGTTCTATGGCTGCCATGGTCTCTAGCTGCTCAGTACTTGAGAAGGATGATAATGGTGTTCGGTAGAAGTGTGTGGTCTGAGAGGGCAGCCAAACAAATTTCACAGCCATTAGGTTCTATTCCTGACTCTGCCATGCTCTGGGAGCAGCATGTGACTACAGTAAACTTCTTCTGAACTTGGCCTAGTTCTCTGTAAAACTGACTGTATCATTTGACATCTGCCTCCTCTGAGCAGAGTTTACAAGGATTAATGAGATAATGCTGCCAACAGGCCCGACGTTTGAATGAAAGCTGCTAATTATTAACAAAGCCTCAGTGGGCAGGTCCATAACTAAAGTCTGACCTTTCATCTTTGTCAAAATGCTCCTTAAATGGGTGACATTATTGCTACAAATAAAGGAACATTTTGTTGGAGAGGTAAAAATGATTAAGAGGAAGGACATCAGGCCTTTGAAGGAAGGTGCAAAGAGCAGGGACAACTGTCCTACACTAGAGAAGGGTGAAGGTGATGAATATTCTCCTCATTGACAAGAAAGAATCTTGCATAGGAGTGGAAGTGGATCTTTTTCCTGTTCACTGAGGACAGAAGACACAGGAAGGAATTCATCAGAATGGTTGATAAGACATGAAAAGCTTAGAGAAGGGATATTTGGAAAGCAGATGTTGTACATGTTTCTAATAGGGGAGAATCAAACAGACTTGTTTCTAACTTGGTGAAAATTGTGTACCATTAGGAGGTCAAATTTCATTAGAAGCTTCTTTACTCTTTTAAAGACAGAATATGATTTTTGAACATAATTTCTAAATGGGGAACATTCTGGATTTTTTTCATGGGTCTCTTCCTGCTGAGATATGAATTCATTTTCTTTCTTATGCTCTCCATAGAACATTTCTTACTCGATTCCTCTTCAACCTTTTCTTTTTTAATCTGGAGCATTGAAAGAACTCTTGTTCTATTTCCACATATTGAAGACTTCATTATCAGGTAAAGTGAGGAGCTCCTCATGGAAGGGACCCGAGGAGCCCTTGAATGTGTTGGGCAAGGTGAGGAGCATTCTCAGGCTACCTCTTGCAGAAGAAAAGCAACTTCCCAAGGGGCCTGAACAAAAGACTGCTTTGATTCCTTCTTCCTCCTTCCTCCCCTCTTCCCTTCATCTTTTCTTTTCTTTCAACTAATTTTTATTGAGTATCTACTTGGTAAGAAGGCCTACATTACGCCCCACATAAACATGTACTTCCTATTGGCATATTTAACTTGACTTTCAGCTCTGTAATTTTCCTGCGGCTAATAGAGAAATATCCTGATTGAGGACCACAGGTAGCAAGAAAGTTTTACATGAAACTTCTTAGACACCTCTAGGAAGGATTTATATGGGATATTTGTTAGCAGCTATTTTGAACTTAATGACACTAATTTTTAAAAGTTATCGTTTTTATTTTCTACTAGAGAAGCCTTGTTCCTTTATGTTCCTCTAATTAAAGTGAATATGTGGAATTATTTCTTCTGAGTTCCTTCAGAAGCTTTGCAGTGATTTGGATGGTGCCCTCAGTGCCAAGAATAGACAGTAAGAAAGAACCAGAGAATCCTCCCATTACACTGCACTATTCTAACTGGATCAGCCAATATTCTCTGGGCCAAGGGCATTTACAGTATTGAGCATATTTCAGATGATTTCTGACCCTACATCGTGTGATAGAATGTAATTCCAGATTCTCAGCAATGAGGTTGTATATGCTTCTACTTCCAGTTGGTTACTGCTCTTTTTTCAACAGATTTTTCTTTTGCTCTGTTAATCATCTTCTTAAATAAATAAGTGAATACATTAATAAATGGAAAAAGATGTGTACCATACATATACAAACATATCCAGAGGAATAAAAATTTTTGCCAGTTGTGCTAACATATCTTTAGAATGAAGTCTCCAAATTGCCCTTGAAATTATTTTCTTCAAATGTTCAAAGTCTAACAAACAACCTTAAACACATGAGTCAGGTTTTATTTTCCACATTCTGTAAGTTTTCAGATTATTGGTCAATGTTCTACCGCCGTATGAATTTGCAAGACAAAGTCTTAAACTTTTCTTTTTTTTTTTTTTTTTGAAACAAGGTCTCACTCTGTCATGCACGCTGGAGTGCAGTTGAATGATCTCGACTCACTGTAACCTTCACCTCCCAGCCTCAAGTCATCCACCCCTCAGCTTCCTGAGTTGTTAGGACTATAGCTGTGCCACCACGCCCGGCTAATTTTTGTATTTTTTTGTAGAGATGGGATTTCATCATGTTGGCCAGGCTGGTCTTGATCTCCTGAGCTCAAGTGATTTGCCCACACTAAGCTAATGGGATGAATTTTGGCAAAGATCAAGAGGGAGTCATTCTCAAACCAATCTAATTATCCTCATTATAGAAAGACTGTGTCTTACTAATCAAAGAGCCTAGAGGGCTACCAACTAGAAATGCAACAAAACACAACTATCTGCATTTATATATTACAAGTATTTACTTTCCATTAAAACAGCTGTTATTCTTGTAGTATTGCCCATATAATTAGTTTCATTAAAAAATGTTTTATTTTATTTTTCAAACTACTGTTTTGGGATCTTACTTATATTCTGACAATATAGAAAGGGACTTTTTTCCCCAACCTGGTTAGTGGTGTGATAAACTCACTGCGCTAAGGTTGGAAGATACTCGGACAACAGTTTCGACCGCATTATCACTAGCCATGAAATAATACAAGTAATAATATCAGTAAATGGAAAAATCTTTCATTTGGATTGTATTTTTTAATGTAGAATTTTTCCCCACATATACTATTATTTACTGTTCATCATATTATTTCTGGAACTTAATTTTCTTATCTGGAAAATAGGGATAGTAACTCCAGTTCTGCCTACTTCAGAGGGTTACTGTGACAATGAAAGACAAAGAGTATGTAAAACTGCATTTAGGCTCAGAAAGCATGATGGTATAGAATGACAGCCATTCATGCACAGAGTCAGTTCAGCCATATATAACAATATTAAGGACTAGGAGAGGAAAAAAAAAATGAGACTGACTTAATTGCTCAGTTGTGTAAACCTGGAGACATGTGTATCTTCTGAGTCTCCTACAAATTAACAACACTACATTAATAACCATAGGCCAAGATTTTTTAAATGCTGGCTGAAGACGCATTTTCCAGTTGAATTTCTAATAACGGTGAGCTAATCCTGGATAATCCCTAGTTGTCTTCTATATATCAGGGCTATGAAAGTTCTTAGAACAAATATATTTACAGGAAGTTCTATTTTTCTCTTAGGAAAATACTCTGGGAATGACTAAACAATATTCTCTGATACTACCAAAAACCATCTCCCTCCATGTGCTGAAAATGATCATAGAGAAACTGGTTTGGGGCATGCATGTTGTAAGGTTGCCCTATTGCACTCCCCTTTTGTTTACCTTCTGAAAACGCTTTTCCCACTAGAAGACATACACTCTACACACTCCTGTAGTCAGGAAAATCTATAGTTGCTTAAATGCATCTTTCAGTTCACAGTAGCTTTATCTCTGTGCTGAAATAAAATGCTTTTCAATTAGAATCTCCTTTCTCAGCACCTAACAATGAATGCAGATGGAACCCGTCCAATCTGAGCAGAAAAACCACCAAACTTAAAAATAATCAGAGATTTTCAAGACATATCGACAGAGCTAAAAACACAGTTACCTGGGCAATTATGTCCGTAATTTCTGAATAACTATGGCATCTTCCCACACAGGATCGAGCCAGAAAGTCTTCTACAAGCCGTGTTCCAATGCCATAACCCCTGTGGATGAAGGAAAGAGTGTGGTCTGAAAATTCTAAGAAATTAGTGAAGTCTATCAGTTTTTAAGAAGGGATTTGTGTGTTTAGCACTTGTGCAAGAGAATCACAAATCATACCAAATATGAAGAGTCAAAATGGCTTTTGGCCGTGGGCTTCTTATTCGTCCCACAGACCACAGAAGCAGAGAGTAACACACCGAGGAAATATTAACTGGTCTCCTACAAGCAGAATAGTCTGCCTAGAATCAAGACTGGCCCAAACTTGACAATGTAAATTAAAATTAAGGAAGGCTGGTGTCTGTAGCCTAATGTTTCTCAGTGGCAACTAATTTTCTCATCATTAGCTATGATGGAAATCAAATGAGAGTCTAGCTAAAGTGTCTGCTACATGTGTGATACCCGGATGCTCGCTCTTCTCTTAGCATTGTTATCAGGGTAGAAGGGCAGGCATTTCCAGGATGAGCTCTGGAAGGAGGGGAAGAAAGGAGCAGAACAAATTTTTGTTGTCAGTCAAAGTTTCGGCAACTTCAGACTCTGAAGTTTACTAAGAAAAAAAACCTCGTTTTTCATTCCAGGGAAACAAACTATGGGACTTGGGGGAAGGTATTGTATTATCTCCACCCCAAGAAAATAGCTCTAGTAGTGCCTGAAGTACAATTTTGAGAACCTTCGATTGAGATGTGATTATACGCACACTGAATATGTAGCTAAGGTGTCTGAGCACACACTTTCAACAAGATAAACTGAGAAACGACTAAATTTCCCAAAAGGATATAAAGAAAGGTCAGAGTCTCTGTCTTATAAGAACATGCAATCTAGCTGAGAAAATGTGACCTTCAAGTGGAAATCAAATGGAACGCTGTTTTTGCCAAACCTCTATCACAAAATTGGTCTTTTAATTTCACAGCCACATGTACATAGACAAGTGAAACGATTTCCAGTGGAGCCACAAAACGCCCAATGAGACACCACAGTGTTCAGAGGCAATGATTACTCCAGAGGCTCTAAAAAGAGATGAAATCTTTGGTGACTAGGTGGTTGGAGGGAGACAGATTTGATGTGAGAGTGCTTATGAATTCAATGAATCTTGTGAGATATCCTATTTATATTTCTGAGTGGGTAGAAATATTCAGTTTAGCTTCCTTGACTTTAGAGAAAAATGGTTTATAATTTCAGCCAAGAAGCTCACGCTGCAAAGACTTTTAACAATCAACATGTCTACTCTACAGAAATAGTTGTATCAGGATTAAAAAATATTTCCAGTGTTTTCTAATTATCACTTTGCATATCCACAGCTCAGCAACTGGGAACAGTGGTCAGAAGCCAAAATGTTAATGAGCTGTGCTATATCTACACATATTGCTTTGGTCAAAGGGTATGTTTCTGCGAACTAGATATTTTATAAATTAAAAATGTAAGAGGCTCTCAGCAGAAGCTATTAAGGAAATCTAAATGTGAATTTTTTTCTTAAGGAAAGATCTTTCTGCGGCTTCTCAAAAATTTATTCTTTAATATTTCATTCATGTTTGTTAAATGTATACTCAATTAGCTAACCGAAGGTATTTTTTTAGTCAAATAAGTGAGCTTTTTTATTATTCACAGCTTTTCCACAAAACAATGCAAGTTTAACGTAAGTCAAATAAAATGAAGTAATTTCTGGAAATGCTATGTCAGATATTTAAGTGTGACCTTAGTGTAAAATAACCTTAACATTCCTCACAGCAATAGACAGTTCAGCTAACAAAGTGACCGAGAAATCTATAGGTGGACAGTTGGACAGTTCTCTTCTTTGTGAATGCCCTTGACTAATTAAGTAGAAATGCAAAAAAAAAAAAAAAAAAAAAAAAAAAAAAGCATATGTACAAAATAAATTAGAACTTTTTAAAAAGAAAAATAATATGCATACAGAAAGAAGAAAAATGAGAGTTTTTAAAAAAGATTTTCAATCTTTATGTTGTCTTTTTCTGTATTTCAACTGAAAATACAATGAACCCTTTTAAAAAGCTCTAAAATGTTAGGCTAAATTTCCCCTTCAATCTGCCTAGATAAATCTTCTAACCAGTACACATTTTCCAGTCTTTCCTCTGTTAGAGTCCTCTTCAGAGTTTATAATTAAGAAGCTCAAAAACCATTGACAGATGTTTTATTGTTTGGCAATCATCTGATGATCACATAGTTATTCAGAGAAAATCAAAAGGTAGAATTTGTGCAGGAGGAATCTCCAATAATAAAGACAAAGAGAATGGGTCTCATTTAAAAAGGAAGAAGTGAGTTTTTCTACCTAATGTGTTTTTAAGAAAAGCATAGTAAGGATTAAAAAACATTCAAACAATAAAAATGCTATCTCAAACAATAAACTCTCCCTTTAATTCATAATTCCCATTTTCTCCATCTTCCCCTTAGGAAACTACCATTATGAGTTTCTTGCATATCTTTCAATAGATGGTCTGTGCTTGTGTAAGCATATATTTATATTGGAAGGAGTTGTGTTAGAACAAAAGACTTCTGAAAAGAATGAAATTTGATGTTCCCTCATGTTGTTAATAGAACAATTTCAATTTTACCACATATTTTGCTTATAAGCAACTCTTCAGTCACTTAAGAAATGATTTCTAACTAAAGAGAAAACATCCCACACTTGATATTTGTAGGAAAAAAATTCCTTCCTATTACTTTATTCTATCAACCTAAATGGCACTTGTAAGAAATTATATTCAGCTTTCAGATGTGATTAATTGAGATAGAAGAACCGCTGGTGAAATGAAGCAAGAGAAGTCATCAGAGGCAGCAAGAATGCAGGTGATGTAAGAAACAACAGACATTCAATAAGAATGAAGGACTTCCACTTACATTTTATCTAAATATTGGTTCACATCTTCATCTTTCTCATAATCCTTACACAGCTGGGCAACCAGAGCTCCATAGGTAAGGACAAAGAGATCTTTATTCTGGAGAAAAAGGGGTAGTTTCTTGTTACAGGCAAGTTATGACAGTATACTACTGTATTTCTTTTTTTTTTTACAAAATCTGGTTTGAAGTAGCCTTAGAGGTCATCTGTACAATTTTTCCTTCCTCCTATTATTGCAACAATTCGCACTTTTGAAAACAAATTATATTAACATTTGGATACATTGATGTGGGGTGGGGGAGAGACAGCCGTTAAATAAAATGAATTTCTCAACATGAGAACATCCTTCTATGCATTTGCTTACATGATAACTTGCAATGTATTTTCATGGAGGACAGTTTTTTAAAAATACTAATTTCTAACATAAATTTCTGTTTTTCTAAAATATATGCCAGCCATGTTTTCAGTTGGAAGGAAGAATTGGATAAGACTTCTCAGGAGTCTGCACAATCCCTAATGGCTCCCAGATCTGCCAAGGAGACCTTCAGGATAAACCCAAATGTAGCAGCAAATTTGTGAGTTTCTTTTCTTTTTACTTAGAGAAAAAAGGGGAAAGTGATATTTCCTTATAGATCTCCAAAGTATGTCCCATTTTTAGAGTAAATTATAAATGAAAACTAAAGCTTAAGACAATTTAGGTTTGACTTAGGATTCTTCCAAGAACCTAATAATAAATCACAAGAAATGCTGGTAAATTATCAATGAAAAGTCTGCCTAACATATAAGAGCCACAGCAGAAGACAAAGTGCTGCCATATACTAATGCTACAGCATAAAGATAAACAAAGGTGAAGGAGAGAGAGAGAGAGAGAGAGAGAGAGAGAGAGAGAGAGAATGAGATTGTTGTAACTACCAGTAAAACAAAAGAATCTGAAAAAAATAAAAGTAAAAAAAAATTATACCCTACCTACATGCCATGGTCCCAAAATTGTGTCCATTTATAATTAAGGCCAAACTGAAATAATGGAATTTCTTCTCTGTCCCTGATGGGTGGGCACTATTATATATTGAAACCTATTTTATTTCCAGCTGAGTTTCTGGTTCAGTACCCATAAAGGCCAGCTTTCTCTATTCCGCTTCATGGCCAAGGACTGTACCTTGAACTGCCTGTTCAGCTGGGTCTCAAATCCATACCACAGATGCTAGGAAAGGTCAACATACGTTTATCTTCATAGTTTTTAAAACAATAAAAATAATCATGTGAATATCTGAGAGAACATCATTAACTATTTCAGTAGGTTATGAATGTATCAGGATAAAAATACATTTTAACTGCATTATAAAATCAAGTGATTTTGGTATAATAGGAAGTATGTATCATTTATCTTTAGCACTTGAGAGTCCCACAGGAAAATAAATCAAGATACCAGAAGGCCAGAGGAGGTATCCGCAGGCATTTCAAACTGAAGTATGCCAGTTAGACACTACAATTCTAAACACCACGTCTGAAATTACTTAATTATATCAAATGCCCATCAGTCTCCTGAAATAATTAACAGAATTTTAAAGTTAACAATGAGTTTTTGTATCTGTAGCTTCTGAATGGCTAAAACTAAGAGAGTATTAAAGAATGTTATTTAAAACTAATCTGCAAAAAAGTAAGGTTTATAAATAACTCTTAACCTGGAATATATAGAAAGGATAATATTACATACCAAGTTACAATAAGACTAGGAAACATTTTTAAAGGCAATCCTTTTTTGATGACCTATTTCTATTCAGTTTTACACATAATCAACTATATATATACACACATATATATACCTGTATACACATACATATATATATAAATTCCTATTTCCTGAAGTATGAAATACAAAAAATTGCTAATATTTTCATATCTTCTGTCAGAGGCAAAAAAAAATTGACACTCGTATGGATATAATTAGTCAGAAAAGAAGACCTTAAAGTCTGTATAAAGAATTGATTATTCTTTATGCGGGAGATAATCATAATTATTCCTGGATGTGGCATTTATGATTCACCTCGCTGAACACTCTCTTTCCTCCATTAAAAATTCTTATAGCATCACTTTTTAAAATAAATCAGAAATCACTCAAGAAAACATTTTCTCTGAAGTAGAAAAAATCTCTTTGTAGAAAGATCTTACTATTTTATGGTATTCTGGTCTTCGGTGTGCAGGGCGAGACATAGTGCTTGATAGATGAAGAACGTGATCTTCAATTTATCTTCTTTTGTCTGTTTCTTAAAGGTATATCAGTCCAGGTCTTTTTGTTTTGTTTTTGTAAGCTCTTCCTTGCTTTGAGACAGGAGTGCTACTTCTGCATTCTACTGCTTTTGCTCTTTGCTGAGCATAACAACAGGATTTTCTTATAGCCACGTAACTTGCCATGGATCAAATAACTGCTTCATTTGTAAGGATGAATTGTAATCGAGAGCCATAAAAGCTGATAATGTGAAGTCAGACCTGAAGCACTGAGACACAAAAAATTCTTTAGCCCAAGGGAGTTCAAGAGTGGTGTTTTGTTCTCATGCCAATACATTGTTTTAAAATCATAAACAGAAACCTTTGCAATCCAAGATAGATCTAAATGTTAGCATTATTCAGTCTTGGATTGATTGTTGTAAGAATTAGAGAGACAAGATCAGCAATCTGTAGGTAATAAATCCTGAGTTCAAACCTGATCCCTTAATTACACCAATGATTATCATATTGTCCCCAAAACCATAGATCCCTATCTTGTGTGATTGCAGTATTGAAATATATCTGGTAACCTTTTTTTTCTTTTCATTAGCAGCAATCAACAACATTAAGGAGTGATAGGACGGGCAATATTTTCTTACAAAACTGTTGTTCAAAATGGGTGCTCTACAGTAATAAAGTATAATGATCTGGTAGAGAAAATAAGCCCTTAGCTTTCTTTTGAGAGTTCTGGAGACGTTAGCTATTGAAGGCTCTCTTTATTTATGCAGAAATACTTAAAGTTCAAATAAAAAATCCTTTCACCTTGACAACTGCAGGATGCAGAGGAAGATCAAAATCTTTCCAGAAACAGAAGCGGAAAATTCAGTTTAGGAAAGTAGTTTTCTACTACTTATAGTTTGAGTCCATTCGTCCTATTTGTTCTGGCAAATTCTTGCTATAAAGGGACAGACTCAAGAATACTTTGAAGAAAAGTGTGGTGTAGTTGAAAGAACCTAGGAGGACTTGGAAGGCTCAGGCTGTTGCAGCCCTACCATTTATTGGCTGTGTGGCCTCGGGCAAGCCATTTTATTGCTCTATGGCTCAGTTTCCACATTTGCAAAATGGCAACAATATCACCCACCTCACAGAATAATTGTGAGAATCAAAGACACAGGTGTGCCATAAAACACATTAAAATGCACTATATAAAAACTGGTTACGATAGGTTATTCTTGTGGTTGGATAAATTGAATGGAATTTTACAATATCTACGATATTTCCATGACTGCATATGTTCTATGACAGTATGATCTCAGGAAAATTAATTTCACTTGGTTGTGGGGTAGGGGTGGAGAGTTTTTTAGTAGCGATTAATAGCAACTTATATGTATATCAAATTTACAGTTTACAACATGGTTTGCATTCTCTTTATCTCATTTTAATTCAAATACAATCTGTGAAATATTACTGTAATTGTGGCCATTTTACAGGATAAGAATCTAAAAGTAGAGAGGTTGAGAAATGTGTTCAAGGTTATCTGGATGTTGGCAACAAGAAGGGATTTGGACTAAATTTGATGATTCCAAATCAGATATATTTGGTACTGCACACACTTTAATTATGTTAGAGCAAACTATTTTAGAGACGACTCACAAAGCTTACTAAGGTTCAGTGACAGCATGTTGCTGGGTCAATTTGTGGGCAATCCTGAGTTCTGAGTTAGATACTGCAGAGAATAACATAGAAAGGGCCTGTGTGCTTGCTGCGAGGTGATGGCAGTACTGGAATCAATTTCACCAAACTCTAATGGCTGTGGTATGGTCACATTAGGGCCATCGGGAGAATTCAGGATGTCATTGGGTGTATTAGAAAAAGTCAGCTTGTATTTCAGACTGACATGGTTCCCCTTTGCCCCATGACCTTCCAGTCAAGACACAGAGCTTGAGGAAGGAGCAGAGACCCTGCCAGGTGCTACTGTACAAAGCACAACCTGCACGACCACAGCTGTACTCACTATCACAGGGGACACTGGTTTACTGGTTTTCAGACTATGAAGCCTACTATTCTTCAGCAGCTCTTAGGATGCCAGTGAGCCCTGTGTTCCACAGACTCCTTTTTTAATGTAAAAGTACTCCTCCCGGGAGGGGGGAGGGATTGCATTGGGAGTTATACCTGATGTAAATGACGAGTTGATGGGTGCAGCACACCAACATGGCACAAGTATACATATGTAACAAACCTGCACGTTATGCACATGTACCCTACAACTTAAAGTATAATAATAATATAAAGAAAAAAAAAGTACTCCTCCCTTAAATAGAAGAAAGCACAGAGATGATGTTTCAAGCAGGTACATGATCTATAATGTCTGCCCTGGCAGCCAACTAGGAAAGATATTTATTCAAGATATTATTTCAAGATAATGCATAAGCAAAGTTTTTCGTGTTTTACTAAGAGTTCTTTAGTCTTGTTAGGACTAAATTTGGAACTGGGGTTAGGAGAAAGACGCATTCTTCAGTCTAGTCAAACTGCACTGCAGTCAACCAACCCAAGGAAATGGTGAATTGTGCTACGCTCCTAGGCTGGTCCTTTGGGAATACGTGGGCAGCAGAGTAGACACTTGGGAAGGTGCTAATAAAGGAGGACATCCACTGATCTGTGGGTTGTATGATCACCCACAAACTATCAGAGAAGACAAAGGTCTGAATGTCCCTAAAACTTATGTGTTTAAACTTAATGCCCATTGTGGCAGTTTTAAGAGTTGGGGCCTTTGGGGAAATGATTAGGTCATGAAGGCTCTGCCCTTGTGAATGAATTAGTACCTTATCAAAGGGCTGGAAGGAAATAGCTTAGACTTCTGTTGCTTTTCTGCTATGTGAGGATATAGCAACAAGGTGCCATCTTGGAAGCAGAGAAGAGCCCTTGCCGGAAAACAATGCCAGCACCTTGATCTTGTACTTCCCAACCTCCAGACCTGTAAGAAATAAATTTCTGGCGTCCACTAGTCTGAAGTATTATAACATCACAAAAGAACTGAGAAAATGGATTACTCATGAATGTAATCATTCACAGTCATTGACAAGTTACACATTGGCACTGCAGATGAAGTGATTAGTTCTTTCAACAGTAAGCAATAGTAAAACGTGGGAATTTATCATCTACAAACTCCTTTACAGCAAGAATTTTACAATCCAATAATGACATCTAATCAATCAATGCTCCATCCTTTCCTACATAATTCCCTGAAAGAATGGTCTACAGTTTCCTTCTCTACTTCCTTACTCCCCATATACAGATGCTCCTCAATTTGTGATAGGGTTATATCCCGATAAACCAATCAGAACTCAGAATGCATTTAATATACCTCACGTACCGAGCAACACAGCTTAAGTTAGCCTTCCTTAACATGCTCAGAACACTTACATTAGCCTACAGTTGAGCAAAATCATCTAACAGAAAGCCTATTTCATAATAAAGTATTGAATATGTCATGTAATTTATTGAATACAGAACTGACAATAAAAAAACAGAATGGTTGTATGCATGTTCGATGTAGGGTTTCTACGGAATGTATATTGCCTTCACACAATTGTAAGGTGGGGACCATCTATACTTTAATTAAGTTGATTTTTAAATATAAAATTATAAACATAAGGAGGCCGAACATGGTGGTGCATGTCTGTAATCCCAACGCTTTGGGAGACCGAGGTTGGTGGATCATCTGAGGTCAGGAGTTCGAGACCATCCTGGCCAACATGGTGAAACCCCATCTCTACTAAAAATAAAAAAAAAAAAAAAAATTAGCCAGGCGTGGTGGAACACACCTATAATCCCAGCTACTCGGGAGGCTGAAGCAGGAGAATCGCTTGAACCTGGGAGGCAGAGGTTGCAGTGAGCCGAGATCGTGCCATTGCACTCCATCCTGGACGACAAGAGCGAAACTCCATCATATATATACACCCACACACATACATATATATCCATAATTGTAAGAATTTTTCTTTATAATTTGATTAGTTATTGCTTTATATATTTCAAAGTTATGCAGTCACAGACACACAAGTTGACAATTGCCAAAATTATTCCTTTTGACACTTTTTAGTTAAGTTTTGCCTTCTATTAATATTATTGCTCCCATTGATATGTATTTCAGTACCTTCATTTTCAAGCATTATGGTACAGTTTTGAGAGTATCACTTGTAGGCAGCATGACTCTATTTTTCAGTGACTTTGTAGGTAAGTTTAATCTAGCTCTGGAATAGTGGTTAAAAGCATGTGTCAGACCACCTGAGTCCCAATCCTGGCACTTCTGCTCATCTGTGTGTGATGAGCGGAAGGGCCACGTCAATTTTCCTGGGTAATCTCTCCACACCTTAGTCCTCTTATCTGTAAAAACATTGAGGATATTAGTATCTCATCATAGGGTTATTGTAGGAACTAAATAACATAAAGTTCTTAGAGCAGTAACTAGTGTCAGTAATTGTTAGCTGTTGAAAAATTTTTTTGTTGTGATTATGGATATATTTAGTCCCATTTCTACCATTATTTTCTGTTTTCTCTTTACCAGCCTCTTTCCATTGTTTACTCTCTCCTTTCTTGTCAATATTCTCTTTGTATTTCCTCTTTTTTGAATGATCTATGCGTTGGATTTCTATTCTTTTAGTGATTACACTTATACCCCTGAAGCCACCAAATAAATCAATGTAATTAACATTTCCATCATCCCTGTTCTAGTTGTGTTTTCTCAGATTCTGTATTTGTCTCTTCGGCATCCATTAATTACAAGGTCAAATAATGGCCAAGTTGCTTACATCACCCCTGTGATCAAAGCCCATAATCTGAACCACTTCCTTATCTAATTTTCATTTACCAAGCCAATATTTACCCTCCCTTAAATAAACTATGGCCAGGTCACAGGCAATATCCCAGGTCACAGGGATAGCCTCTGTGCCCCAAGGCCAATCAGAATTGTTTAAGTTAGCCAACCCTAAGTGTCTTCCCTGACCTCCCTTGCCTTTTCCACAGAGTGCCCAATAGAGACTCTAGCTAGGCTTTCCCTGCCACCTCTTGTCCCCTGACCAAACCTGATGTGCCCCCATGAT